GATAACCGATTTTTTGCCTGATAAACGATTTATTATAGTCATTGTTAATTATAAAAAATCACGGGATACCGGATAAAATAGTATACCAGCGCTTTATTTAATAGTATTTGTTGAAATTTTGATAAGCAATAATACTTCGTTGTTACATAATGAAATTAAAATAAAAAAATAGAAACCCATCCTAATCAACTAGTGCCACCAGTTTGTTTTAACTATTATTTAATGTTTCCACCAATCATTGTATTAAATTTATGTGTTGCTTCTTCACCTTCATTATTTTTCAAAAAAAATATATAACGGCAAATAAACGATTTTCAAAAGCCTTAAAAGCTAATTCTGTTCTGCCAACAACTTGTTCAACCTCCGAAGGAATTGGATCATGAAACTCTCTGATAATATCATGGTTAAAGGAAATCAAACCTTCAAGAATATCTTCTTCATGAAACGGTGGTCTTGGCTTATCATCATCCTTTAAACAAATGTGGCCCTTGACTGTTGCTTTTCATTCCTCTAGATCATTTAAATGCTTGGACGTAAGATTTCTATCAGATTAGACCAATCAAAGATTAAAAGCGTACCATTCCTTCCAGCATATTAAATGGCATAATCGAGATTTGGAGTAGTATATATGCCTGGCCCATATTCATTTCTTAAAGAAGACCGAAATATTACAATAAACCCGTATGTAAGTGTTGCGTTAATATTGTGAGAATTAATTCCACGGTAGGGAAATCTTCTTCTATCACCAAATTTGTCTCTTATCTGACTAATCACGTTAAGTTTCTGTTCATTAGATCTAAATTTGTATTTGTATGTAAATAAGTTTTCTGGGATGGTGTTTCGAACTTTTCCACCAAGATTTTCTCGGGATTCACTGATTGAATTTTATTTTGTATAAATTTTGGAATGTTTCCGCCGTATATGTAAATATCTTGAAGTTCTGGGTGCAGATTAATATGCTGAAACGGTAAACAGTGGATAATGGCAAAGCGGGCTATATAGAGAGTTGAAGAAACCCCAAAAGGAACTTCTATGGGTTCACTCCATGATGCTACATCATTTTCATCAAAGCCAAGTTTTCCAAAATATTTTATACCAGATCAGACGAAAATTTCTCATCTACGACAATCGCATTATTATCAGCCGTATCTCTATAATCACCTCTAGATAGCTGTTGTATGTATCTTGAAACAGTGATGGCAAGTGACCCAAATGACCTCAAATGACTTAAATGATTGTTCATGTGTCATTTGGGTTATTTCAATATTAAATGACAAATGACCAGGGTTTCGAACGTTTTCATAAATATTTTCACGTCACGTTATATAAATTTGTAATTCTGGCCAGCATATAAAATTTGGCCTGTATTACATTTAAATGACCAAATGAACCTCAAATGATCAGAGGTCATTTCAAAATCGCCAAATTACCTGATCATTTTGTCATCACTGTCTTGAAACGATTCTTCTAAAAACATGGTAAATAAGTTATCCTTTAATTAGTATACAAATATTCAAATTATAAGGTAAATGTATATATTATACCTAAACGATCAAAATTTTCTTCGTTTTGATTATACGTGTTAGTCTTGTTATATTGACTCTTAATACTTTTGTCTTCAAGATTTGAAAACGAAAAAATGGTAGTTTTCGGAAGTTTTATATGATATTTCCATTTTGATAATATTGCTTTGGTTTGTAAAAATAAGTTTTAGGTGAAAGTTTTTGAAGTTGTTTATACTTTATAAACTTCCTGAATTTTTAGGGATTCTGGCAGAAGGCACCATGTGTTGTATTGTACTCAGTTCTTTCGTCATGTATTTATAAACAATTTTGCGATGTAAGCAGAAGGTATTAATGAATAATTATTGAATAAAAATGAAGTAATCGTGATAATATTTATTTAATAATATCAAATTAATCAGTGTTGCCTCAACGTCGGCACTCTACACTTTCGCTTGATCAATATTTTAAACTCTATAAATGCCAAATACTAAATTCTAATTAATTGAAACTACGCAAATTACGAAACTATTACATAAAATCGAATTATAAAATACTAATAAATCGGAAATTAAAAATAAAAATAATAAACGATATTACATATGAGAAATTAAAAAATTGAAACGGCAAAATCGAAATTATCGCGAAGAGAGGATTTCAAAGGGAATGTAATTTAAAGAAATATCACAAGGGCGAGCGTGGATATTGAGCTGTTTTATGATTTCCAGCTCGAAATCAATTAAGCCAGCCTGGCATCTTGAACATTCCAGGCGCCCCCAACAACCTGCAAATGATCGTCAAAAATACTAACTGTAATTATCAAAAACGATTTACATGCGGAGTTATGAAGATTTCGGCCGGAATTACGTTCAATTATCAAGAACTTTATAGTCGTGATAAATTCGCATATCATTATGTTTGCAAGTTCATGTAATACCTCGTAACTTTGAATTTTACATGTTAGAAACAAAAAAAAAAAATAATAATTGAATTGTTATTTATGGCTCGGCGATTTTTGATCACAATTTGAAAACGGATAATAAAAACAAAATTATTTACTAAAAATACATTTGCAAAATAAATATTTTTTTATTAAACTTTACAATTTTTTGAAAATTTTTTTTCAGATTCAGGTAATTCTAGCACATTTTTAAGGCATGAAAAATGCTATTACACTATTTTTTTTTTTATATTAACATGTACAGTATTGTGTTGATCACGTGTTTAAAAAAAGAATTTTCAAAAAACTGTTACAAGAGCTTTCGAGATTCATAAAACTATTTTCCGGCCCAATGTTGATATTTATTTAAGATCTTTTTTTATACTATTTCTCGGGTTCGTAATACGGGGATTAGTTTCGTTTTTATTTTCATCTTTTTTTACTTTGGAACTTTTCGCGGCTATAAAACGATTATTTCAGATTTCTTTAAAATTATTCATTATTAAATAATTTTTCGGCTTTAATTGCTTCAGAATTACGCGAATCGTTTTTTTTTTTTTTTTAGTATTTTGCTTTAAAAATTCCTTTACTATCACATATTAGGTATTTATTTTTTGGTTTCCCGATATTTATTATTTGATCATTCCGCTATTATTTTCTCAATCTAATTAATATTAAAAGGCTTTGACAGCGGTGGTTTGAATTACTTCTCACTGCCTCCCTATTTTTAATTATAGCTGCGCCACTAATTAATTTTTTTTTTCGATTTTCGATTTAGGTAAAATCGATTCAATATCTTGCCGTACCGTTTATAAAATAATATAGATTTTACTCAATGTGATATATTACAAACTTACGATAAGGGATTTTTTTTTTTTTTGAAATGCAAGCAAAAATATTATCTAAATTGCCGATCATTCCGATTGATATTTTAAGTTAATTTTCACTTGAAATGATTCATAAAAGAATAAAGTTTATTTAAAATCTTATCTGCTTTTGTAGCTTTACTGTATCTTTCTTCAAAATGGGCATAGTTTTAGAAAGCTTGAAAACATAAAATTCGATGAACAAAATAAAAAGCTCGACAAGCAAAATAAAAACATGATGAAGAAATAAGAATGGCAATCGTGTAGAAACTAAAGTTGTAAAAGTAATGATAAATATAGGTCATTTATTTGAAAGGTCACTCTGTATAATATAAAAAAAGAATTTGGAGAGCGATTTACAGTAACCTTTGAAATGATCAATTTATATGATGTCGTACGAAGAAATGCTTTAAGTGAGAAATTTATTAATCTGGGTTATTAAATGAAGAAATATTGTATTTCGTATAAAACTAATTTGCAGGTAATTTTTGCAGAATTCAAACTTCATTGATGTTTTTAAGGGTAATATTACAACTGCTGAAGGTATCCTTTAAATAATCTTATGTTAGTCGCAAAAGATAAATGTAGTAAATAAAGATTAAATTGGAGGTTGAAACCGGTCGGTAAATTAACCGGTTAATTAACCGGTTAACGAATATTTAACCGGTTAAAGATTTTAGACAAGTTTTAAATGAAAGTAACATTATTTTTAAATTATATAATTGTTATTTTATATAGCATTAGTAAATTTTCCAATTATCCAATAAGCAAGCCACATTTGTGAATAATGCTTTGTACGGCAACAAAATTACTGTATCAAAGCTCAAAAAATAATTGTGCAAGGGATATCGTTAGTAAATAATCCATCAAAATATTCAAGTGATTAAATTGTGCGCTTGCAAGATTAATTGCAAATAAAAAAAAATAGTCGCCATTAATATTTCAGGAATAAATTTTTAATTTTAAATTTTGGAAATTTCTGATGGATGAAGTTTGCCCAATCAGAATCAGAATCCAAATTTCAAGTTTGCACCCCATGTATCAACCAACTAGAGACCTGCATAAGTCCAAATTTTGAAGCCCGGACTATAAGCCAAGAATTAAAATTCCGGCCCGGCCCGGCCCGGACTCAATTATAATTATTGGCGATGCGAAATTTAACAATTTAATCATTTATTTTTTATTTAACAAATTACAAAAAAACGATATGTATTTTTTTTTTTTACAATTTTTTAACAAATTATTATTATAATAAAAAACAAAATAATTAATGAAGAGCACTATGTAATGCCAAAAATGATACTACCTGTTTACAACAATATGAAATTGATTAGCAACAATAAAATATTTTATTATACAATCAGTGGCCGGTTAAATTTTAATTAAATAATGATTTTTGCCAAAATTATAAAAAAATCCGGGCTGGTACCTTGGACCCGGAAAATTCTAAACTTATATTTGCCGGCCCGTACCCGACCCGGTCCGTTACAGGCCTCTACAACCAACTTAATCGTAATGAGATTGGTTGATGCGATATATTTATCTTATTTATATACATCACACTTCAATTTCAATTCAAAGTAATTAATATATATTTTTTCATCATATGTCGAGTGAAGATAACACTTACCTTGTAACCAACCCTCAATTGGTTTATTAAGGGTTTCATATTGATTAAAATTTAGCAAGTCGTCATTATCCATAAATCAAAAGTTCGTACTGAAAATAGGTTGAAGCAAAATCTTTCAAAAAATCAAATTGCTGAGGATGAAAACGAGTATAAATTCTGATGGGAATATAAATCAATATTAATAAAATTTCTCACTTGCAGTAAAAATATAGTTTCGATGTTTTATATTCTTTACGCTTAGAATAATCACGGTTCGTATTTATTATTTTTTATCAAATTATTAAAAATATTTTGTGATAAATTTATTTAATATTATTTAATATTATTTAATTTTTTATAATTAATATATAAATTTTTTATTATTATCTAAATAAGAACTTATTTATAAAAATGTTCGCTAATAAAAAGGATATACTTCAAGAGACTCGACATAAAAATATTATTAGCGCTTAATCCTTATAAAAATCAAACATTTTATTACGGAAATGTAATGGACTTTTTAAAGATTTGAGTATTTCGTATTTATAGTTATGGGTTTCGCCAAATTTATTTATACTATTAGAAACAGTAATTTTTAAGTGAACGTGTTCAAAAAAATTTCTAATCAAATATTTACACAATATACAATGTTGTTAAAACATTTATAACTTTTAACAAACTATTTATATTTTATTTATAAATAATAATGATGATAATTGGGGTGCGCTGTCAACCAATTAAATCAAAACTATGTATAGTATCATATAAAATTTTATTATTGAAGATTTTTTTGAAATTTGATATATAATACTACAGGGTTCCGGCAAATTTTCAAAAATATAGAGTTACATTGATTTTTATTTGTGAATAAACAAACAATTTATAGTTTATTACACATATTTAATAAATTATTAAAAAAATTTGACGCAACCTCTGCTCCAATATTGATGTCTTAATATTTTGCAATGGAATAATAATTTTTGTTCTTTGAGTCCTCATTTCTTCAAGAACTTCAATTAGCTACTAATTTGAAAAAAAGAATTGATTGGAGTTTAAATTCTTTAATAGATAATGGCATGTTTACATGTAATTTGTTAAAAAGTCCTATAACTTATTTTTAGTGAATAATAAAAAATAGATATGTGTTTTAACGAAATTATAAAAATAGGGAAATTCATATAAAATAGGTATTAGCAGTCTTGTCAGAATTCTTCTGATTACAAGAAATTTTATTAAATAATAAAAAACTTGATGAATTAAAAGTATTTATATTTCCACAATTATGTCATTTTCAAACTTTTCTATTTTTAATTCTAACTGAGTAAAAAAGTTTTTTTGATATTGACCCTGCAGAATCATTTAAAAAGGTTAAAAGTTCGAACTCTAACAACATCAATAAATTGTTATAAAAGGGTTTCAACTTACAATAAGACTAATATGATTGAATTTCTAGTAAGGATTTGTTTTTCAAACGTTAGATTCAAATAAGATCAACCAATGATAAGCATCAGCATCAGTTATCATATGGGGCCTTTGCAATAGAAAGGGAGGAAACTCAAA